CTCCTTTCTATAGGCTCTTGTCTCTCCTTTCAAGGTAGCGGACAGCCATACCTCACTAACATCACATGAGCTGTCCTAATTGGGCAACTTTCTACAAAGTAGACAATAATGGAAGAGCAATGTGTACTGCTGCAAAATTGAGCTGAACATTTTAAGTGAATTGGTATTCAGGGTTGCTTTTGCAAGTTTTCAGAACTTGATTTGAAAATCTGAAGGAGGAGTTTCAATTATATGGATTTCACAGAGTGTGCTTTGATTCATGTAATGTGCTACCATATGCAACACCAATTTCAAAACTCCTCAAGATCTTAATTTTCCACCAAGAAAATTGGTAGTTGCTCATTTGATAGCATTCTCTACAAAATGTTCTGGCTCAATTTGCTAAATCCTGCATGGTAAATATTTGAGAAGTGTTTCTGTCAAAAATGACTGTTTTGGGATGGATCGTGTGACATTAGCGAGGTATGGCTGTCCGCTACCTTATAAGGCTCTTGTCTCAACAGCTCGCTCCCTCAGCCAGGTAAGTCTTCACTCACCATCAGAAGGGCTCTCACAATAACAGTTTACTCTATCTACATAGTATTACTGTCATCTTTTTTGTCACCCACTTCCTTATATTATATGCTATGTAGAACTCATGTATTGTCATACCTCTAATGGAAATGGCCAGAATCAGGTGCATGCTGCACCCAATTTCTCATGTTCTGATTTCTGATTTTTGGCCATTTTCTCTCAACTCCTTCTCAAATGGCCTCAGCAAATGTGCACAAGCCCAGTTGTCATTGGTACTGTATAAAATTACTGCCAATATATTGTGATATGTATTTTCTTCACACATCTTCTTGATATATATATTTGCAAAAATATATCCACAGTGAATTTCCACTTCCCATGAACTGTGTGAAATTATCATCCTTGCATATAATCACAGAATATATCCAAACCACAGTATATACTTGGAAGATATATCTGAAGTTATATATCCAAGTAAAAGTACATATACACTTTACACATCCTCTTCATTTATATATTTGCAAAGATACATATATCCACAGTAAAAACCACAGATATATCCAAGTAACAGTGTACATATACTTAGTAGATTTATGTAACAGAAAGACACAGTTTATTCAATATAACTACATAAAGTTACATTACTACATCAAATATTAAATAAAGGGAAGGGGGAGTGAGGGAGGGAGGTGGTAGGCAGTGAGGAAAAGGGGTGGGGGTAGTGGGCAATGAGGGAGGGGAGAGGGGTGGTGGGCAATGAGGGAGGGGAGAGGGGTGGTGGGCAATGAGGGAGGGGAGAGGGGTGGTGGGCAATCAGGGAAGGGGGGAGGGGTGGTAGGCAGTGAAGGAGAGGGGTGGTAGGCAGTGAAGGTGAGGGGGTGATGGGCAGTAAAGGGGAGGAAGTGGTTAGTGAAGGAGGGGAGGGGGTTGGTGGGCAGTGAGAGATGGGGGGGTGAAGGTGGGGGTGGGGTATTGAGCCTCGTCGCCGTGTGTGGGTGGTGGGCGCTCATCGCGTCTTCGTCGTCGCCGTGCGTCGTTTGTAGTCCCTCGTTGTCGTTGTCGTCAGTCATTTGTACGCCCTCGTCGTCGTCCGTTCGCTCTCGTCGTCGTCCATTTGCTCTCGTCGTCGTCCCTGGTTCGTACGCCCTCGTCGTTGTCCGTCGTCTGTTCGCTCTCGTCATCATCTGTCGTTTGTAAAGCCCTTGTCGACGTCGTCGTCATACGTCTTTCGACACCATCATCACGCCGTTGATTGGGGTCTGTCCTGCCTGGCGTCGTTTCGCGTCGTGAGGTGGCCACTGCCGGGCGGCATGCCCCTTCCTTTGGGGAGGGGTGGCATGGTGATGTGGGGGGTGCTGTCTGTCAATCGCCAGTGGGCGGTCGACGGCTGTGGTGTTGTGTTAGTTACGTGGGTGGTCATAGAGGTGGAGAGACTTACTGTACCCAATATATACTGACGACGACGTCGTCGTCGTCTGTCTGTGTCGCGTAGTTGCCACGTCGCCGACTGCGACGTAACCCAGCTGGCTCATGGGGTCGTTCGTGGTTTGGGGGCCGTGGTGTGCACCGCTCGTCGATTTTCGTGGGCGTCCTGGGCGCTGGTCGTCGTTTGCCGGTCGTGGTTTCCGTTGATTGGGGTTGTCGTTGTTGCTAGGGGGTCGTGGTCGTTTGTTGGGCCTTGATCGTCGTTTGCTGGTTGTTTTTGTTGCATGTGTGGTTGTTGTCAGTTTTGAGCGGGTGGGGTTGTTAGCGGCAGCAGGGGTTGCGAGACCTGGCATGGCGGCGGCGTGGTGGTGGGGTGGAGCGTTGGCGTTGACGTTGACGTTGACGTGTGGTGGTTGTGGAGAGGAAAGAAGTAACGTCACTGTGACTAAGTCACAGCGTGTTAAACTCACACATAAGACACCCAAATCTGTAATGTATGACTTCATATTGTATGACCTTTCTTTCTCTATGTTTAGACACATACCGTTTAGTGTACCACTTTCATCTACTTCTTTTCTTTTTATATTTAGATACATTTCTTTTAGTACAAGCAGCCCCACCTCCCAATGTCCTCAGAGTCCACAAGATACCAGTACACACTTTTGTAGTCTGAAGAAGGGGACACTAAAAACTCAAACAGCAGGTCCTACAAAATTTTGTAATGAAAAAGTGGACAGTACAAACTTTGTAATGAAAAAAGGTGGAGACTACAAATTTTTGTAGTCCCAAAAAGCGAACACTACAACATTTTGTAATAAAAAATGTCTCAAAAGGCTGGTACTACAAAATTTTGTAATGAAAAACCGGGTAATGAAAAAAGAGGAGACTACAAATTCTTGTAGTCCCAAAAAGTGAACATTACAAAATTTTGTAATGAAAAAGCGGACAATACAAACTTTTGTGGTAAAAGAAATCAGGCACTACAAAATTTTGTACTCTTAAAAAGAGGATACTACAAATTTCTGTAATAAAAGTGGACAGGACAAACTCTTGTAATGAAAAAGAGGACACTACAAATTTTTGTATAGTCCCAAAAAGCAAACACTACAAGCATACTGCAAACTTTGATAGTCCCAAGAACTGGACTCTACAAGCTTTTGTATTCCCACAAAGTGGACATTACAAGGTTGTGAAATGAGAAATAGGATACTACAAAATTTAATAATGGACACTACAGAATTTGAATAGAAATAGTGGGCACTACAGATTAAAATTTGGGCGTGCGGGTGAGTTTGAACAACGTCACACACTGTGACTTACTGACGTTACATCTTTCCAACGTCAACACCCACATCCACCCCACCACCACGCCGCCACCATGCCAGGTAACGGAACCCCCACCACCGCAAACAACCCCACTCGCCCAAAAACGATAACAACCACACACGCGACAAAAACAACCAGCAAACGATGACCAACACCCAACAAACGGCCATGGCCGCCTAGCAACCACGCCAACCCCACTCAACGGAAACAACAACGGGCAAACGACGACCAGCACCCAGGACGATCGACCACCAGCGCCCATGAGCGGCTCACACGATGGCCCTAAAGCCACGAACGACCTCACGAGCCAGCAGGGCCACGTCGCAGTCTGCGACGTGGCACTATGCGACACAGACAGACGACGACGACGATCACGTCGTCGTCGTTGACAGTATATAATGGATACGGTAAGCCCCCCCACGTTTACTACCACACACGTAACTAACACAACACCACAACCGTCGACTGCCAACTGGCGATTGACGGCTAGTACCCCACATCACCATGCCATGACGCGAAGCGTCCCCAGTGACGAGGACACTGGAGGGCGAAAGACACAGACAACGACGATGGCGTACAGACGACGGATGACGACAACAACGACGGCGTACAGACGACGAACAACGACAATGATGGCGTACGGACAACAACAACAACAACGTACGGACGACAACGACAACGACAGCGTACGGACGACGAGGAGAAGGAGGGTGTACAAAGGATGGACGATGACGAGGAGCAGGGCGTGCAAACGACGGAGGACGACGACGAGGAGCCAGGCATGCAAACGACGGACCACGACGATGACGGGGGCGTGCAAACGACGGACGACGACGACGAGGGCCTACAAACGACGGATGGCGACAACGAAGACGCTATGAGCGCCCACCACCCACACCCGTCGACGAGGCTCAATAGCCCACCCTCACTGCCCACCACCCCTTCCCCTCTACCTCACTGCCCACCACCCCCTGCCCCTCTACCTACTGCCCACCACCCCTCTCCTTCACTGCCTACCACCCCTCCCCCTCTCCCTCTTTACCTACACCCCCTTCTTCCCTCCCTCATTGCCCACCACCCCTTTCCCCCTCCCTCATTGCCTACCACCCCTTTCCCTTCTTCCTCATTGGCCACCACCCCTCTCCCCTCTCCCTCATTGGCCACCACCCCCACCCCTCTTCCTCACTGCCTACAACCTCCCTCCCTCCCTCATTCCCTCCCCCTTTCCTTTATTTAGTATTTAATGTAGTAATGTAACATTATGTAGTTATATTGAATAAACTGTGCCTTTCTCTCCTGAATTCTACACATGAATATATCCGCACTGTTCTTGGATATATACTATGGATATTTTTGCAAATATATATCAAGACGATGTGTAAAGTGTATATGTACTGTTACTTGGATATATAACTTCAGATATATCTTCTAAGTATATATACTGTCATTTGGATATATTCTATGATATATGCAAGGATGATAGTCTCACACAGTTCAAGGGGAGTGGATATTTACTGTGGATATATTTTTGCAAATATATATACCAAGAAGATGTGTAAAGAAAATGCATATCCACCATACACTGACCATAATTTTATACAATGCCAATGACATCTGGGCTTGTGGACATTTGCAGAGGCAGTTTGAGAAGGATTTGAGAGGAAATAGCCAAAAGTCAGAAATTGGGTGCATGCTGCCATTTTTATTAGAGGTATAACAATACACAAGTGCTACATAGTATACAATACAAGGAGGTGGGTGATGAAAAAGATAACAGTAATACTACATAGATAGAGTCAGCTGTTATTGCGAGAGCTGTTCTAATGCTGAGTGAAAACTTATGTGGCTTAGAGAGTGAGCTGTTGAGACAAGAGCCTCATAGAAAGGAGAACTCATCTAAAAATAGATGCATAAGTGATCACCTCAATCCTGCCCTCTTACAACCTGGAAGGTTCGTCTCCAATCTTTTCTTGACTCTTCTTGAGCACATGAATAATGAGTATAGATTTGATTGTCTGCTCTATCTGGGTGTGAGCAAGTCCCACCAAGCCCAGGTCAATATTCTTGAAGCCCTGACAAGGAACTTTCGACTTGATCAAGACATAGACTTGGGTCGTGTTGCGGAGCAGTGCCCCTTTAACTACACCGGGGCTGATTTCTATGTTCTTTGCTCAGATGCAATGCTCAATGCAATGTTACGCAAAGTGGACTTTTTGGAGTCCAAGATAGGTAGGTCAATGCAGAAGTTTTTTGCACTTTTATTATTGACATACTTCTCTCAGCTGACATGAACAAAGTACCAGAAAGTTTGGGTCAACATCCCTATCCAATGACCCCGCAATATTTTCTGTCTGAACTTGCAGCACCTGATGACTTACTGGTGGCTGTCTCACAAGTAGACTTTGATAATGCCCTAGTCACTCTAGTTCCAAGTGTTACTCAGGCTGAAATGGAACACCACACTTGTGTCCAGCATTGCTTTTCTCTAGGTGCAAATATTTAACTAGGCTACCCCAATCAATGTAGTACATCAATATCACATTGGTTTAGAATATACAGACAGACTTGCAAGTTGCAGACAAGAAATGGCATGAGCTTCAGGGGCCTGCAAAAAGTTGCCATGTTTGTGGCTGTGTAGTCATTTCACCCACCTAGTCTCCATTACTATCACAGGCTTTATTTAGCAGCAGGCAAGCCTGCCTGGTCCCCAACTCTATATTGCAGCCACCCCTACTCCCTCTTCCTCCTTGCCTTCAATATAAGCAATGCACGACACCTCTGCACACATTCCAAACCTCACATGGATCCCCTCAAGTTGGAACCACTCCCAACACCTCCTCAGCCAACTTGCACTCCAATCTTGTGCATCCATCTGCATCGCCTGTGCCTTTACCTCATTCTGCTATCCTGTCACCTAGTGTCACAGCATGATTCCCATGTTTCTTATAAGTATATGTAAACATATAATAGTCCTCCAACTTGAATGATTTTGATCTATAATGATCATTGCCCAAGTCATAGTCCTCCAACTTCAATGGTTGATCTTGTTCATTGTCTAAGACATAGCCATTGAGCTATGATGTTCATGGTCCAAGTCAAAGCCCTCCAACTTGACCAGTTCTGTTGATCTAGAATGTTCATTGCTCAAGTCATAGTCCTCCAACTTGAATGGTTTGGATTAATCATGTTCATTGCTGAACATGGTTTTGATCTATGATGTTTATTCCCCCAGTCATAGTCCTCCCATGCAAAGGGGTTTTTTCTTATCCACAATATTCAAGTGCTATAAGAAAAAAATGGACAGTTAGACTGTTGCAGCCTTCATGGAAGCCATGCTAATGGTCTATGTATATCCTACAAACAGTCAAGGAAACACAGCTCCAGATGGTGGCTAAAACCCTAAAAATAGTAGAAATATCATCTGGAATATATGTCCCACATTACAGAAAATCACAAGTTTTTTTTTAGAAACTGGGACCCCAGACGCCCCTAGTGGCTGAAGAAATATATCCTTGGTCAACCCCAGCTGCAAAATATATCCTAAGTCCGTCCCAGACCAGAAATATATTTCTACAGTGTGACAGTCACAATTCAGGGTCCAGGCATAAGAAATATATTTGGTGTCCATCTCAGTGAAGAAATATATTTTGGGGTGTGTGACACACTAGAAATATATTAGGTGTGACATTGGACGTCAAAATATATTCATGTAAAAGTGGAGATATACAAGCCCCAGGATATATACAATATAGATATACACCCTGACATTTAGTCCCATAGTATTCATGGAGTTTGCAAGACTAATAGTCAGTTGTTAGTGGGTGACTGAAGTGCTATATCCTATATTTTCCAACTACATTCTGATCAAGATATATTTTTGAACTATATCTTGAACCAGGATATTTTTGATCTATATCATGAACAGGATCATGAATATATGTCATCCTTGCCCATAATTACAGAATATATCCAGGATATATAATTTGGAGATGTATCTTTAGATTTCACAAGAAGATTTCACAAGACAAAGCTGCAATTTATTGAATCTAACTACATAAATTTACACCACAGTATTGACTATTAAACAGAGGCAGAGGAAAGGAGGGGAAGAGAGAGAGAGAGGGGGGGGTGGGCAATGAGGGAGGAAAGGAGTGGTAGGCAATGAGGGAGGGGAGGAGTTGTAGGCAATGTGGGAGGGGAGGGGTTGTAGGCAATGAGCAATGAGGGAGGGGGGAAAAAGTAGTTATAGGCAATGAAGGAGGAGGGAGGGAAAGGGGTTATAGGCAAGGTGGGGGGAGGGGTGGCAGGCAATGGCAGGAGGGGAGGGAGTGGCAGACAGGGGAGGTGTTGGTAGGGAATGATGAAGGGGGGGAGGGAGGTGGCAGTAACAGATGATGGAGGGAGGAAGGTGGTATGCAGGGAGGGAGGGAGGGAGGAAGGAGGTGGGTAGGCAGGGAGGGGGAGGAAAGGAGGAAAGGAGGGAGGGAGGGAGGAAGGGAGGAAGGAGGTGACAGACCAGAGAGGGAGGGGGGAAGTGGGCAGTGTGGGAGGAGGGCTCACCGAATGAAAATATAACAACAATGATGACGACGTTATCGTCGTCGTCCCTCATCGGTCTGCGTCGTGGCCCAGCACCCTCGCTGGGTTGTTCGTGGCCCTGGGGATGTGGGGTGCACAGTCGTCGTTTTCGTCGGCGCACACTGGTCGTCGTTCTCATGGGCGGTGGTCGTCGTTCCCGTGGGCGGTGGTCGTCGTTCCCGTGGGCGGTGGTCGTCGTTCCCGTGGGCGGCGGTCATCGTTTCCGTGGGCGCTGTCGTTTCCGTGGGCGGAGGTGGCATGCGCCGGACGTCATTTTGCGTGGGCGCTCGTCGTCGTTCCCTGGTTGGTGTAGCTTGTTGTTATCGTTTTGGGCGGTTGTGGTCGTCCTAACATGCTGACATGGCATGGTTGTTGTTGGTTCAGGATGAAGGACGGGCAAAACGACGAACGACAAAATGTCGTCGTTCGTCGTTTCGTTGCCATGTCGCTGTTGCGACGTGGCACCTGGCATTGTTGTCAGAAACGAAAGAGGGGGGAGATGGGTGTGTGTGCTCACCAGGTAATGACAACAACGAAATCATCGTTGTTGTGGTCGTGTCACATTGTGGCCATGTTGGTTGTGGGCGACGAGGAGGCGATGGTGAGTAAGGAGAAGTGACATCACAAGTCACAACATGTGACCTTGCAGTATACATCGACATTCAAATGTTCAAGTTCATGCTCCTGTAACACTGTTTCTGATTAAATTTGTAGTCTATTAAGTAACTTTGTATTCATTACAGAGATTTGTACCTAATGAGAAATCTGTCCCCACAGTTATGTATATTACATGAAAGTATTTCATAAAATTGCTGCTTCCAGGGTTCAAATTGCAGGAGGGGTACTGTTAAGGATTACTAGGCCGCCGCCGGGAACGGGTTCGATTAGCTTCGAACTACAACACAATAAATTGGGCACCATGACCAATGCCAAGTTCACAGGAAGGAATCTTCTTGTGTTCCTGGTGACAACTCAGTTTCCGAACTGAAATTACGGATCGGCTGCGGCTATTATACATTAGACACCATTGACAATCCGCATGTTCTCGGGTGGGTGATGAAACTCTCGTTGTGCGAGCTCTGTGATCCCCTTGTCCCAAATGAAATGTACAATGAATGTATTCAGCATTCTAGGGATCATCTTGCCTGTATCCGCATCGTGGAATGGCTTCTGACCATCAACGTTAAACCATTGTGTCATTCTTTTTGTCATTAGTTTCTCGCAACTGTTTCCTGAAGAATGAACCCAGAGTATTAAACTGTCTGCTCTTTGGACCGAGAAAACTTTGTAGTGTCTACTTTTCAGGACTACCAAAATTTTGTAGTTACTGTTTGGGACTACAAAAACTACAAAAAATTGTATTATCTTCTTTTATCATTACAAAGTTTTGTAGTACCAGCTTTTTGAGACTACAAAAATTGTAGTCTCCTCTTTTTTCATTACAAAAGCTTGTACTGTTCAATTTTTTCATTATAAAATTTTATAATACCAGCTTTTTGAGACTACAAACTTTTGTAGTCTCAGAATCTTAGTGAGCATGATCAGAGCATGATCTTGAACTTCAACGTCTACGTCTACAAATGAACAATGTCACAGAGTGTGACTCTGTGACATTGTTCATCTGTTGGGACTCTGTGACGTTCCTTTTCTCTTCAACCCACAACTTCACCACCACTCCGTCAACGCCAACGACTCCACTTCACCACCACGTCGCCGTCATGCCAGGTCACGCAACCCACCACTGCAAAGAACCCTGGCTGCCCAAACCGACAACGACCGCCCAACAAACAACACACAAATGGCCACCGCCCACGAAAATCGACGACCAGCACCCACGAAAGTCGACACACACGCCCATGGCGCACCCACCACAACACAACAAGGATGCTGACGGCGCACGACACACAACGTCATCACGGAACAACTACAACCACCCCGGCACCACAAGAACGACGCGGCAGCGCCACGTCACCAACCCCCAGCAAACACACAACATTGAAGGAGATCGACGGCAGGCGAGGACGACAGTGACGAGGTTGTGCCGTACCCAGCCTGGTAAGCAGTCACCACCCCAGCTTTTTCCCTTCTGACACCAATGAGGTGCCACGTCGCTAGCTGCGACGTGGCAACCAGATGACGAACAATGACCGATGTCGTCGTTCGTCATCTTTGTTTTGCCTGGCAGACCACAATGACTGCCCTAAAAATGAAGACGACAATGGATGAAGGTGTGGGTGGTGGACCACGGACGAAGATGAACGCCCACGGATGACCACCAACGACTGCAAGCGCCCACCAACGACCATGAGCACCCACCAACGACCACGAGCTCCCACCAACGTCCACGACCACCCGCGCGAACGTCCACGAGCGCCCACGAACGAGACGAGGGCGACCCGCCCACAAACGTTTACAACCGCCCACAAACGTTTACAACCGCCCACAAACGTTTACAACCGCCCACAAACGAAGGTGACTGCCCGCCAACGAAAACGACCGCCTGAACGGACACAAGCAATGACGAGCCCAGGGGAGCTCGCG